GAGAAATTAGCCCAAGGAAGTAATTCAAAAGAAACTTGAACAGCTACACATGTAAAGATTTCCTTGCAGGATTAGCTATAATACCAAAAATTAGAAACAGCTTAAATGTCCAACAATAAGGAAATAGTGAAGAAAATATGATGCATAAACTATGGAAGTTTACGTAGCAATTAACAACAAACATGAAGGCTAAGCATGACGGAAATGTTCAGAATATTCAGAAAAAGAACTAGAAAATTATAATAGAAAAGAATATTAAGAAACTGTTTTTATAATAACAACTATATAAAGATATGTATACACTTGTAAAAAAAACATTGGAATGGAGCATAAAGAAGTGAAAATGAAAAGTTATTGGGCTAGCTTGGTAACATTATTGCTTTTAAAAAATGTATAACTTCCTCTAATGATCTTATGATATTTTTGTTAAAATATCTCAAATTAAGAGAGGAAAAAAGTGACAGCTACTTGGAATATTTCTTTAGTGACCTAGACCAAACAGCTATAATGGGTAGATAGCCTGCTGTTTTACTTTCCATATTTTGAGGGAATTGAGCAATTGCGTGATGTGATTCGTGCTAGAATCCTCAACCTCTTCTTTTTCTCCTTGGTGCCGTTTGCTAGTTCATTAGTTAACAAGCTCCGACAGTGATAGCCTTCTTTATTTTCTGCCTTTCCGCAGTGCTAAAGCCAAGTCAGAAAAATGAGTGTCTTTGTTTATTTTCAGGATATTAGCTGAATCATATGAAATTATCATTTTCGTAGGTCCAAAAGAAACGAATATCGTAAATTTCATATGGTCCAACCAGAACATTTTAACAACGTAGCATTTTATCTTAAATTGTCCTTGAAACTCATTTCTAATCATTCTGTTCACTCAATTGCTCTGTCCCCTCCACCAGTTTAATTTCTTTTCTTTTTTTTTTTTTAAAGTACTTTGTTTAATACTAAATTCTCTGGAGAAAGGTCCAAATGATGCCACTCCAATATACTCCACCGTGAATAAACCATTAAAGCTAATTTAATCACATGGAAATATCTGGATTTCCCTCATTCACCCACCTCTTAACTCATTCAACAGTATTTATGGCGCCTGGACTCTGCGCCATGCGCTGAGTTGAGTGCTGGGAACATCTCTGAGCAAGACTCAGGCGTCTTTCCCTCAGGGAACACAGACTGCGGTTTCTAGGCTGGAAGCAAAGGCTGTGTACGGCCGTGACTAAACTGACCGTTTTGTTTCAACTAACAGGTCAAATGACTGGTTTGATTATTTTTAACCAAACTGACTGAATGTTTACTCAAATTAATTAAATCTACCATCACTTTAGTGTTTGTAAGAACTAGCCATGGCCCAAGCAGAGCTAAGGAATTTGTTTTGAATTATCCCTGCTATTTATTTAATCAATTAGCTGACCCCCAGGTAAAGGGGGCTCAGGAGAGAAAGGATTCTCGAAGAGTGTGTTTGGACAACTCTAATGCAAGACAGTTCCCCCCTGACGCCCGAGCCTTTCTAAACAAAACACAAGACACAATGCCAGGGGACTCTCGAAAGTAAAAGTGTATATCCAATAAAAATTAATTTTTTAAAGACAAAGGCAAAAATAAAAAGAATTTTTAGGGCCGGCTCCGTGGCTTGGCGGTTAAGTGCGCGCGCTCTGATGCTGGCGGCCCGGGTTCGGATCCCGGGCACGCCCCAAGGCACCACTTCTCCGTCCAACGCGAGGCCGAGTCCCACGTACAGCAACTAGAAGGATGTGAACCTATGACATACATCTGTCTACTGGGGCTTTGGGGGGAAAAAAATGAATAAATAAAATCTTTAAAAAAAAAAAAAAAAAAGAATTTTTAAATAAATACAGCCATGATTATTCACCCAAGCAAGAGCTTCCCAGGACTGTATCTGGGGGACGTTTCAAAGCAGCAGAAGTGGTCTCTAGGCCAGCAAGTCTGAGAAACACCAAGGCAGAAAGATTAAGGAGCTCATCAGGATGAGCTGAGCCAGGTCACTGGAGGTTGAAATAAACCAGTGGTTGAAATAAACCAGTGAAAATGCCATCGATGAAAAACTTGTCCTGGCATCACTTACAGCTCCCCTCGAGTCCAGCTCCAAGTAGTTGAAGCAAAGATCTGGTTTCAAGAAGTTTGCATTTAAACCCCCAGTCACCGTGCACCCACACCAACCATTTGGCTTCAGAATCTGTGTGGCCACCGCAACCAGTGACAATCAGGTGGAATTTGTCTCTAATTTCTTCCCCCTAACTATTTGTATTATATATTTTTTAGGCATGTCTTCAGTTTGGGGGAATGTCCCAAGCATCTTTAACAATATACATGGTAGCTCTACTGCTCTTCCTGGGGCCTGCCACAGCTTTGAGCCTCACTCGCAACGGGCCTGCCACTGGGATGCGTGGCCACTGTATTCCTGTGCTGTTAGGGGTGTGCTCAAAAATCAAGAGAAGGGTGAGGTGGATTTCAACAGATGGAGAAAATGCCCAGTGCTGCCTTACAGCGCAATTGAGAACAAATTAAGAATCCCAACCACAGGTTTTCATTTCCTGTTCCTGGGTATTGAGAACAGGAAAACAGGCCAAGAAGTAATAATTAATACAACTTCCCCTTATTGGCTGTCTATTATGTATTAAACATGTTACATTTACTTCTCATTTTCACAACTCTGCAATGAAGGTGAGAAAACTGAGGCCCAGAGTGGTTAAGTAACTTGCCTAAGGCTGCACACGTAGCAAAGTGGCAGCACCGTGATTGGTCTGACTCTTCCACCACATCCAGCTGCCTCCCTGAAAGCGCAGCTGCTCACAAGTCTGGGAGCCTGCACTGCCTGAGGCTTTGTACCAGAGTTGCATCTCCTCACCCGAGAAAGGACAAAGGCCACACTGACTGCTGAGTGCATTCTTGGCGACTGTGAGGCAGGGCGTTAGAGGCACTGAGGGGCTGAGGGCTCTGTAGGCAAAAGTGTGCCCATGCCATTAGGCACGCCATCTTAGTCTCTTCCAGCCTCAGACCCCGGTGACCGTCTTGGCAGACTCTCACCCGGGAGACCTCCTCATGTAGACAGACCAGGCCATTATTGGCTTTGATCCTAATGATCTGGGCATTGCCAAGCAAATGGAAAAGTCTCGGTAAAAAGTAGATGCTTTAAAAGAGTTTAGGCGGGTAACTTAATTGAGCAAGAGAAGAGAGAAGACCTCAACTCAAATTCCGTCCACAGCCCTTCCTCCAGGGGAAGCTGTAGAGGGTTTCCTGGCCGGCAGCACTGGGCTGTTTTCTGCCCCCTGGTGTTAAAGGCCTCTCTATGTCTCCCCCTGCCTTACCTCCACTAGGCTAGGACACTTTGAGAAACTTTTGTCTCAGACTTATCTAAAAATAGCTACAATTTCAGTCTCCACACCCGCAGAGCAAGCAGCGTTGAAAGATGAATCTAAAGGGTTCTCCTCCTGTACACAACTTGTGGAAACGGGGCATGGCCCCCGTCTGGCCTGCGGGGTGGGGTTTTGTTTACTGCTCTTGGCAGCCACCACCACCCAAGCAGCTTTCCTTTTTCTCTTCTAACTCCACTTTGCCCCTTGCTTGGCCCCAAGGCCCAACGCAAATGGACCAGTGGGAAGCTCCACATGGAGGAATTGTCTCCCCAGCCTGAAGCCCAGGGTCTGAATCCACTGCCATCAGCTGTTCCCCCCAAAATCACTGATTTCACAGGCTGTCATGGCGTCACAGGTCCCCTCGTCCCCCACACACCAAGATGGGCTGCTCTGGGCTCACTCCAGTGTCCTAAACCAACAGCACGGTGTGACTCATACCCAGCAAGGCCTTTCTGAGAAGAGAGCTGTGATCTTACAGAAAACCCTGCGATTACTTAGTCCTCGAAACCCCGAGGCGCTAGGCCACGGCTGTTCCACGTTCTCTGGCAGGAACAGACGTGCCGATGGCCTCTCCTGCCCTCCCACCATTGTCGCTAAACACCCTCCCACGCTGGAGTGAGCTGTAAAGTAGACGAAGGACACTTGTGACCACCCTCCCTGTCTCTTTAGATTCAAATACAACTTGTCCTGTTTCTTGTAAAAATGCCATGACACCAACCCCCTGAGACAGTCCATTCTGCCTTCTTCTCACTTCTCCTCCTCCTCATTAGCTGGGCTAGAAAACATGGTGGGAGTGGAAGGCTTCTAGAAAAGCCAGGCTCCTGTGAACTGGAATGAAGTGAGGAGGGAGTTCTCTTGTTGCTTGTTGTTACCCGTGGGGCGACAAGTCACATCCCCTCATCTGTCCTCTATGTCCTGTCATCATCTCTGGCGTTGGGGCCTCAGAGAGCTGCCCGAAGTGGGTGAGTCACTGAGCCCGGGATGGGCGTGTCACAGGGCAGCCCTGGGCCATGGGGTGCAGAGGCGGCCATGACAGAGCTGAGCCGAGACACGGACCCCGAGCAAGGCCACTTCCCTCCTCCGTTACCCCCACTTGGTCCCTGGCCCATTGAGCTGTTTCAAGTCAGGGAAAGGAAGGAAGAAGGAAAGGAGCCGAGTGACGGAGCCAGCAAGGGATAAAAGAAGATGTAGAGACTAGAAAAGTGTCGCCGCACGAAACATGGCCTGGCTGGCATTTTCCCATCCCGTCCAGCTTCTGTCAGATACTCCCTCTCCTCTGCCCCTGGGCCCGGCTCAGTTGTTCTTCCGCTCCCCCCTCCTTGTCCTCCCTCCGCCCAACCACCCACAGACATTTCTCTCTCCTTTTGTCGCTGGAAAATTCTATACTTTGGGCAGGTGTGTTTTCAAGCAGCTGGGTCTGAACTGATGCCCAACTTGGCTGTAACGAGGCAGATGGCAGCATCGAGCCGGACCCCTCCCTGCTCAGCTGCCCATTGATTTTGGGAGGACAGGATTCGAAGGAGACATCAGTTCCCCCCCAACTCCACCACGTCCCCCACCCCGCCCCCCCACATGCACAAAGAGTTTCTAAAAGTTCCTCGCCATCCATACATCCAGCCTTACCTGTAATTGGAAACTGTGCCTGCAGGATGGCCGCGGTAACAAGCACCTTCCACTTCATCTTGTCCTTTCCCCCAGGATGGCGCCAAGAGGCAGAGGCCGTGGCAGCCGTGGCTGGGACGAAGAAGAGAAAAGAAGTCTCTGCTGGCTTTGTTCTGTTGCTGCCTCCTCAGGAAGTGGAGGACTACGGGGCCTTTGAGAAGACAGGCACCTGCCAACAGGGCCAAGAAACTCACACTCCCCCTTTCGGTTCACAGGCAGGAAGCTCTGGAGGTTTGAGGGTTTGGGGGTTGGGGTGTGTGTGTGTGTGTGTCTCTCTCTCTCTGCCGGAATTTTTCTTTTTCTCTCATTTAAACATTGTGTTATTTTCCTTTTTTTCAATCTTAGTCTAATTTTTATCTAATTCCTATCTTGATTAGTGAAGTCAGTCTCCAGGTAAATACGAGTTCCCCAATGTGTGTAAGAACACTTGCCATTTTCCTAGACTCAAATATTTTATCAAAGTTGGTAAGATGACAGAGCTCTGGATTCAGGGTCAGGCTAAATGTAGAATTCTTGGGCTTTAGTGCCATCTCTGCTACCTACTTACTGTGTCACTCAACATCCCAACGTCTCTAGACTTCAGCGTCCTTATCTATAAAGCAAATTGCTGGAGTAGATCTGAGGTTGCAGATCTGAACTTGGCCTGAATTTGAAACGTAGAATAGTTTGAAATACTATAGTTCACATAGTATTTCAAACACGTTTGTTAGTTGTCAACATTTAAACATTGGAGTAATTTACGATAATAAAAAAGATAAACACCTAGAAATAAATTTAATAAAAAGTGTAAGATCTGTAGGAAACAAGATTTAAACCATTACTGAAGAACACAGAAAGGACTTGGGTAAATGGAAAGGCATAACCTGCTCTTTGATTAAAAAGCTCCCTCTTAAGAAGACCCCAATTCTCCCTAAACTAATCAATCCATCTCACTGAAGATGCCAACATATAAAAATAACTCCTACGACTCAATAATAAGAAAACATAACCCAATTAAAAATTGGCCAAAGATCTGAATAGACTTTTCTCCAAAGAAGACACACAAATGGCCAATAAGCACAAGAAAAGATACTCAATGTCATTAGTTACTTGGGAAATGCAGATCAAAACTACAGTGAGATCCTACTTCACAGCTACTAAGAGGGCTGAAATAAAAAAGATAGACAAGTGTTGGGAAGGATCTGGAGAAATCGGAACCCTCCTACATTGCTGGCGGGAATGTAAAATGATGAAGCTCTTGTGGAAAACAGTTTGGAATTTCCTCAAAAAGTTAAACAGAGTTATATGACCCAGCAATTCTACTTCTAGGCGTATACTCAAGAGAACTGAAACATATGTTCACACAAAAACTTGTATCTTAATGTTCATAGCAACATTATTCATAATAGGCCAAAATTGGAAACAAGTCAACCGAGGAATGGAGAAACAAATATGGTATATCCCCCAAATGGAGTATGATTCAGCCATAAAAAGGAATGAAGTATTATTACATGTTACAACACGGATGAACTTTGAAAATATTATTCTAAGTGAAAGAAGCCAGACATAAAAGACCACATATTATTTGATTCCATTTATCTGAAATGTCCAAAATAGGCAATTCTATATAGAGAGAAAGTAGATTAGCAGTTGCCAGGGCCTGGGAAGAGGGGGAAATTGGGACTAACTACTAATAGGTACAAAGTTTCTTTTTGACATGACAGAAATTTTCTAGAATTAGATGCTGGTGATGGTGCACAACATAGTGAATATACTAAAAATCACTGAGAGTACACTTTAAAATGGTGAATTTTAGGGGCCGGCCCCGTGGCTTAGCGGTTAAGTGAGCGCGCTCCACTGCTGGCGACCCGGGTTCGGATCCCGGGCGCGCACCGACGCACCACTTCTCCGGCCATGCTGGGGCCGCGTCCCACATACAGCAACTACAGGGATGTGCAGCTATGACATACAGCTATCTACTGGGGCTTTGGGGGGAAAAATAAATAAATAAATAAATAAAATATTTAAAAAAAAAATGGTGAATTTTATATTACGTGAATTATATAACAATACAAAAATAATGCTAAAACAAACAAAAGAATAGTCAGGAAACCTCTGTAACAGAAGGGTGAGGAGAGTGAAATAGTCCTGCCAGACATCGAACGTTACAAAGCAACATAACTACCATAAAGTATTTATGGTACTATAGGCTCAAAATTATCCGGTCAATTGGTTTTTTATAAAGGTACAGGGAAAATTCAACAAAGAAATGATAGTCTTTTCAACGAATGGTGCTAGTCCAACTGGATATCTGCATGGAAAAAATAAAAAACACTAACTGTTGTTTTACACCATACACAAAAATTAACTAAAATTGTTCATAGACCTAAATGTGAAACCTAAAACTGAAATTCTGGAATAAAACAGGAGAAAAATCTTTATGATAGAATGTGAGAAGCACAAACCATAAGAGAAAAAATTGATAAATTAGACTTCATCACAATTAAAACTTTGTTCATTGGAAAACACCATTAAGAAAATGAAAAAGCAAGTCATAGACTGTGAGAAATTACTTGCAAACACACATATCAGATATAGGGCTTATATCCAGAATATATAAAGAACTCTTTCAACTCAATAACAAGATAATCAACTCAATAATAGCCAAAAGATTTGAATGGACAATTTCCAAAAGAAGATAAATGAATGGTCAGTAAGCACATGAAAAGATGCAGAACATCATTAATAGTTAAGGAAATACAAATTAAAACACAATGAGCCCCCCTGCCGGGGTGAGTCGCTCTTTGTCAGGGTTTAAATCTGCTCCTCTTCCTGCAGGCTTCTGGCATAGTGTTCAAGTTCCAAAGACAAAGGTTCTGGCACTTCTAGGGATAGTCTCTCTCAAATAATGTAAAGTAAAAATGATAAAACATAATAGTCAAATTGTGAAGGAACTGAGGTTGCAATATTTATTAAATAAAATCAATAGCTAACTTTTATAGATTGCTCACCATGTGCCAAGAGCCAATCTACCTTTTTCAACATGAATCATCATTCTCCTCCACAATAAACCCATGGGACAGGTACTCTGATGACCCCATTTTACAGACGAGTCCACTGAAACACAGAGAGATTAACTTGACTGGGGCCAAGGTCACAAAACTCGAATCTCAAGAGTGAAGGTGTGGTCAAACCAGGCAGTGTGCCATCAGAGCCGAGAACTTAACCATTCCTCCTTCGCTTCATGCAGTGTGTGTGTGGAGACAGCGATACCACGGTGGGAAGGCCTAAGGCAGGAAGTGGCACAGTGTTTAAGCGATGGGCTTTGCATTTGGAAAGGCCAGGATTTAGGTCTCAGCTCTGCCACATACTAGCTTGTGACATGGATAAGTCACTTTAATTCTCTGTGCCTCAGTTTCCTCATCTGTAAACTGGGGGTAATAATGGCACATCCTTCATAGGAGGGCAGGTCCCCTTCTGTGTGTTTTGAGTGATAAATAAGATAATGTACAAAAAATGTGCTTAGCACAATGTCAAGCTTGTAGTTAAGCATTCAATAAATGGCAGCCTATTACAAAAAATAAAATAAAACACAATGAGATACCATTACACACCTATTAATATAGCTAAAATTAAACCACTGGCCATGTCAAGTGTTGGCAAAGATATGGAGGAACGGGAACTCACATAGACTGATGGTGGGAATGTAAAATGGTACCCATTTTGGAAAACAGTTTGGCAGTTTCTTCAAAAGTTAAACATAAATCTACCATATGATCTAGCCATTCCACTCCTAGGTATCTATCCAAGAGAAAAGGAAATATATGTCCATACAAAGACTTGCATATGAATACTCATAGCAGCTTTATTTGTAACAGCCAAAAACTGGAAACCACCTAAATATCCATCAACAGATGCATGGATAAACAAATTATGGTATATCTGTTCAGTGAAATAATACTCAATAATAAAAATGAATAAACTGCTAGTGACACAACAACAGGGTTGAATCTCAAAATCATTTTACCGAGTGAAAGAAGCCAGGCAAAGAATACATATTGAATGATTGCATTTATATAAAATTTTAGCACTGTGACAAAGGGCTTAGTTCCTTTATACATAAAGAGCATCTAAACATTATTCAATTACAACAAATACTTTTCGAGTGACTACCATGTGCCAAGCACTGTATTATATGCTGAAGATAAAACTAGAGTAAAACAAAGAATCCTCACCTACACAAAATTTTCAGGCTGCTGGAAGTCTAAAAACACATTAGAAAAACGATCAGAGGACTTGAATAGAAAATTCTTGGAAAAGGAAGTAATTAATGGCTTTTGAATGAAAGGTAAATCAAAATTAAAACTACAACAAATACACTTTTTTACCTATCATATTGGTATCAACTCTTCTGCTGGGCTCCCTCCTCTCTAGCCTCCCAAGGACATTGTTCCAGAAATGTCCTCTTCTCTCTCCTGCATATCAATTTTTTCTTCTAAATTGGATCATTCTTATCAGCATGCAAGCATGTTCTTTCTCCCATCTTTAAAAAACCCTAAAATATTTTAAAGGCATTTGCACATTGGAGCTTGCCATCTCCCCTGCTGCTTTGGGAACCCAGCCTCCATGTGAAGAAGCCTGGATGAGCCTGCTGGAGTACGTGGCTTAGCTGACAGCCAGCACTAACTTCTAGATAAGTGAGGAAGGCCATCTTAGACCACCCATCCCCAGCTGAGCCACCAGAGGACTACAGCCACGTGAATGATCCCAGGTGAGGCCAGACCAAGCGCTGCCTAACTGAGCCCATAGGGATTCTTTCTTCTGCTTGTTCTATTCTGTTCTTGATGTTTTCTATTGCACTTTTCATTCATTGTATTCTTCAGCTCCAGAATTTCTGTTTGTTTTTTATTTCCATCTCTTTGTTAAACTTCTCATTATGTTCATGTATTGTTTTCCCAATTTCATTGAACTGTCTTTCTGTGTTTTCTTGTAGCTCAGTGAGCTTCCTTCAAATAGCTATTTTAAATTCTTTATCAGGCAAATCACAAATCTGCATGTCTTTGGGATCAGTTACTGGAAGATTGTTGTGATCCTTTGGTGGTGTCACGTTTCCTTGATTTTTCATGTTCCTTGCAGTTTTGCACTCCTGTCTTCACAGGAACTGCTTTTGGGAGGGAAATATCTTCTGTCGGCCCTGCTAGGGATTCTGAGGCTTTCTCA